GTATAAATATTTAGGGTATAATATTTTTGCTTTGTGCAGTTAAGTATTCTGTTAGCAAATGCTAGTGGGCCTTGAGGGCTTCTCATAGCGTTAGCCCAAATTGTGACTTGGAACATTGAAAATTTGAGTCACTTTTAGCAGAGGGCTGCTTGAAAAATCGTGATTTCCAATTACGGCTATCTGAAATCACGGCATGCCAAAGAGCCCCTTAGATCCTTTGAAGCCACGGACAATAATTTGTGTGAGATTCATGACTGTTAATAATATCCACAATACACTACATGATGTCTTGGCAGTCATAATATATTATTTAATCCTCCCTTTCTGTAACATTATTCCCTTCCGGTGCTTCCTTTTACATATATTACTTCTCACTTTCACAGCTTCCACGCACCTACGTTACTGCATCAATTCATTATCCCTTTATTTCTAAATCCTCTATCCTCTCTATTCTGTATTTTGATTTTATTACTTCTTCCACTATGACTGCCTAGATCTTATTCATTCTTCTTCAAATATGTGCCAGCTGAATAGCCTCTAAGCACTATCTCTTTTCTAGCTGTTCAGTGCTTTTAGCACTTTTTGGCAATTGTTTACTATTGATAGAGCTAGCTCAGATTACACTAAACGGAAGAGACTCACCATGGCGGCACAGTGAAATGAATTTCTGATATATAAAAATTTCTCTTTTTCTATTTATTTTCTGGAAATGATAGGCAATTTATAAGGAAAATTTGTGGCTGCTAAATATCTCTCTACTAAGACTATTACATTCAGTTTTTGTAAGAAATTTGAATTGATATCCATTATTGCTAGGCAGTTAATAGCTCTCTATATAAGCAAATAGCTAATTTTGTCATTCTACTATATTTACAATTATAGTAAGAAGGAATCTAGATTAAGGGATTTCAGCAAAAATATATAAAGAGAATAATATACTAAGTCTAGTTGATAAGGTAACTTCTCAAGTATTTGGGACATAAATGTAATGGCAGATTATATATGAATATTGGAGATATGAAAATTTTTAGGTTAAGAGATTTGACAATATACTAAGAATACTCTGTACAGAGAAACCAGTGGGTTTTTTTGAAGACTTTTAAGTTTTGGACTAATACAATGGACTGGTTCACACTCATCATAGAGTCCAGTGTATGGTAAACTCATATGAGTTTGATAAATGCTACTTATTAGTAGCTGATAAATTTGAAATGGTAGGTAAATCATATTCTTCCAATTGAGGTAGACAGGGTGGAGAAGAAACTCCATATTGAGCTCTGGCAAATGGGCTCTGGGCAAACAGGATATAATCTCTATACCAATATTGGTTTCACTCTTTCCTTCCCTAAAAACAGATACTAGTTTAAAAGGATTATAGTTAGTATCTATCTGGTATAATTTATATATAATTGAACTGTCTCTTCTTTCGGGAACTTGTCAATGAAGATAAGACTAAAATCCCAAAGTGGAGTACTATTTTTCCCTTCTGCTTACACTATAACTCTTCTGCTCCAGTTTACCCAGCTCTGCACATTTATTTGAAAATCTTGCATCTGCACATTCTACGTAGTTCTCTCCCTCCAAGTTCCTTCTCTGCTTCTATCTTTCTTCTATCTCTCTGTTTTTTTCTCTCTCACTTTCTATATGAAAGTTGATAATTAATAGTGATAACTTAATACTAATATTCCTTATACTTTTCTTGTTTAGAGACATAATGTTTGAGCAATTTATTTATTATTAATGATCAAGTAAAAAGAAGAGTAAGTATACTAGGCCTTATGTCTAATATCAAGATTGGAATATAAAGCTGATTCCTACCAGAGAATGAAGATAGAAATACTATATAAGGCAAAGGAAAATATGCTGGTAGATTAGATATATATAAAGCAGAGGTCTAAGCTCATGGGACAGGCACATATAATTTCACAAAATTTGAATCTTGAGTGAAGTGCTTCTTGGGTTTCAAAAAAACCTATTTGTATTGAGATCAATTAAAGAACAATTAAGCTAGATGCAAAATCAAGATATGGAGTGCTTATTATACCTTCACTTGATTATTTTGAGGATCACATAATGAATACTTAACTTTATAAGTTGATTGATCTTCACTGAACCACATATAATATTACTCAAAAGTCTGCCTACAGTTTCTTTTCCTTGATAGCCTGAGCTTTTAGCCAGTGAAGGAAAAACAAGAATTTGCTTTCACACAAGAGAAACTCGAGAAATATGATATTCTAATGTGAAAATAGACGAGATAAGTTGCTGGCATACTTTCCCTGTTCATGTTTATGTTAATCTGGTCCAACAGGAAATTGTACCTTAATTGAATACTAACTTTTATAATATATTTGTTAGTGGAAAAGGATAAAGGTAGTCCTGGTGGCTGAGTGAATATATGTGGACTTTGGAAATCATATTTTCTCAGGTATTATGGCGTTTTGCTAAGCTGGGTTTGCCCAAGATAGGGTAGCGAACCAGTATAGGTGATAACTAGGCTGTGCTGTTATGGATCCCTAAAACCTGTATCTTGATTACTATATTGGGTGGGGGAGTTTGAGCGTCCATTTCATATTTCAGGCAGTGGTCTTGGCAAAATACTGAATAATATGAGAAATTATCATAGTTTTTACAGTTGAGATAGTATTGTCCCTTGATCCCAGGGTTTTACATAAATATACACTATGTTAAGGTATTAAGAAGAGTATTTCAGTTGGTGCTTGAGCAACTGGTACTTATTTGATATATTTCAGCGATATGAAGAAAGGTCATTACCTTATGTTTCTACTAGTAAGGAATCTTGTTTTGTTAGAAAGCAAGTTAGGAAGGAAATTGAGAAATGTATTAAATTCTCAATTGAAACCTGTAGTAAAGCTAAATATCAAGATAACAGCAAGTGCATTCTGCTCTGCTTTCTGAGGTCATACAAATTATACCAATAGTACTATACTACTTACAACTCTGAAGACTACAGCTGAAAGAAACAGAAAATCTTGCTAGTAGCTTCACTACCAAGCGTTCCTGTCTTTAATAGCTTGTATCGTGTTCGTTACAGGACGGGGCAGGGCGGGTTTTGCCCTCAGAGGCCCCGCCGTTACATGGGCCCGGGGGGCGTATTTTCTGCTTTCTACCTGCCCCGCCCCCGTCCGGGGCCCAACCCCATGCATTCCCTGGACAGGCCCCCTTTTTCACCACCAAAATTTTATGGGGCCCTGGCCCTGGGTAGGGGGGAGGAATGGCAAAAAATATGCCCCGCCCTGGGCCAGTGAGCGGGCCAGGGCGGGGAATTTTGCCAGGGACCCCTGTTTTTCGGGGCCCCGGAGGCCCCTTAACAAACGCTAAGCTTGTAGAGTTGTAGCTTTAGTAAGATTCCTACATTATATTCTTAACTCTCTAGTGTAACACCATCAATACATGCTCCCTACCTACTCATCCAGAATGTCTAGACTCTTTGTACTAAGAATCCTATTACTTTATTAGTCTATTCAGATATAAAGTTGTTACTATGAATTAGAACCAAAGCTACTTTGAGGATTCTCCTATTTCTCCCATCCTCATTGTTTCTTGAGTCCCTCAATGGGCAACAATAGTCAGACATGTGAGATCCCTAAGACTATCATGTGCTGGTTGTTGAAGGGTCTCTGCCAGACTGGACTGATTCTTCTAGACTGGTTAAAAGTCAAGTCTGCTCTAATGGGGAAATTAGACCAACTAGACCGTCAGGATTATTGAACCGGACTAGGCTCGCACTCAGCTGACCAGATATGCCATGCAATAGAATCGATATTCCGTATAGCATTCTTTATGGGGCGGGACGGGACGGGGCGTGTTTCACCCTCCGAGGCCCTGCCCTTACACCGGCCCGGGGGCATATTTTGTTGGCTCTCCCCGCCCTGCCCCCATCCGGGGCCTGACCTCTACTCATTCACTGGCCGGGCTCCCGTTTTGTGCGACCAAAATTTTACCAGGGCCTGTTCGCGGAATTTTGGCTGTAGCTTGTGTTTTTAGGGGCCCCAGAGGCCCTGTAATGAACATTAATTCTCAATGACCAGATTTAGCATCTCATTTTACCTTTTAATATTTTTATCATAATATTATTATGTTTAAATAAGGATTTTTTTTCTTCATTACACTTATTATTACTGTAGATTGTCCAGTAGAATCTAACGAATGGAGATCATACCTCACTTGGATTAGGGGCAGCGAGAATAGATTATAGAGTATCATTTTCAGAGCACTAAGCGAGTGATATTTCATGACAAAACAATCTTTCAAGAAAGACTTCTCTAGGACCAGTCACAATATCTGTCAGGAGTGACTAGTCTGGTCCTGCCTCAAAGACTTGACAGGTTAAACTATTCTGAACCCTGATCGTGTGACTCCTGCCCTCTCATATTACTACTTGGCGACACTTAGGCCAATATTGATATGTGGCGTTCGCCTCCGCGCTCGCCTTCTTGGATCTTAGCAAATGTTATGTTTTTACTATAGCACTACTTATAAGCTTCTACTACATCTAATACTTATAGAAAGGTGCTATTTAAACTTAAAAGCCCAATAATAGAAATCCCCTAGGCTTCAAAGATGTAAAGCCGTCGGAGGAAAGCCTAAAACCTGTTTATTAGGTAGCACTACCAACGGTTACAGGGTGGAACGTTTAATATCATGCTATACTTATACTTTACCATCAGTAGAGGTTCCCGGAATATACACAATATCATCCGCGTGTATCTGCAAGCTCATAAAAATTCACGACTCAAACCTCTAATGACAAGTATCACTCGCAGTAATTCTGCCAGTCTATAGCACACCTGCAAGCTAAGCCGCCTATTATTTCGCCCCCGCCCTTTTCGATTTGGTAGATTTTACTCTTTTCCGGGGGTTTGGATATCTTCCTGCGGGGCGGTGGAATTTACCACACCGGTTCTTCACAGTGGTACAATACCGCAGACAATATAATCGGTAATTATAATAGATTCGCAAATCTACAGTATGATCTGTCTTTGGTAGTATAGAGGTTAGTATTTCCGCCTGTCAGTTAACTCTGAGCGCGGACGACCGGGGTTCAATTCCCCGCCAAAGAGATATTTTTTAAAATTTTTCGCCTCCTAGTAGCTGTTAAGCTTCCACCCGGCCCGAACAGGTTTCAATACTGCAATTGCTGCTCATCAGGTACCTAATTAATGACTTTAGAGGATTAACGGAATAAATTGCGATAGATACTCAGGTTTCTCAATAGTCCGCGGAAGACTGGACTAGACTAGCTAGTTTCAGTAAATTTATTCTTAAATATTTAAAGGAGACAACTATACACCAATAGTGATTATTTACCGTGGTGTAATTGGAAATCCCAATGCTCAGGATCTTAGCCGGAAGAGAAGCTTCTAAGGATGCACTACAAATCATCATCATCATTAGTATCAGCATCACACCCGGCAAAAAAAAAATCAGAAAAGGAAGCTCACGCAGTTACCAGACGGAGGTGAAGCAACGCTAACCACATAAAGGGCGCCCACCGCAGCAAGTGCATTAAAAATAGCTTGAAGCGTCATTTGAAGAAACTCGCCGGATATTAACAGACCCTTCGGAGGTGTAGAGAATGGGACTGATAATGAGAATGAGGGAGTCGAGAGAAACACGCTTATCTATATAACCATTCCATGTACTCGAAGAGCTCGCACGGTAAAAAAAGGTCCATTTTCACCCTAGACTGTCCCTCTTGCCCCACTAATAATTTGAGTCGTAGCCGAGGACCACAGGAAGCTGCCCGGCTGGAGAGTACACCCTGACAACCGCCCAGTTGGTGCTTTCACCGCCATCTCTCCCCTATTATCTGTCGTTGAGCCCACCAGAAATTCACTGATGGTTGGGCTCGTGTGATTCGGGCCTAAGAAACTTGAGTGCACGATTGCTGAACATTGTCAAGATCGGTGGTGTGTTGGGGGAAAATTTTGACTTATTATAACCTCAATTTTAGCTCAAGTTCTGCTCAGTAGTTATCGGATAGAGTAAACTTGGCATAGAATCCTACCAGGGAAGCGATTAGTCACCGTAGGTGAGGCTCCTCTCTGGATCCAAAATCTCACGACTGGTCTCTACCCCTGCATGCGATGGAGTGAGCGAGCCTCATTTTCCGGTAGTTGCACAGGCCCTATTCCCCAAGACTAACCAAACGACTGTAGTAGACTGGGGGTTGTACCGTGCCTGTCTATAGCATAGAATACTCTAACACTCGACTACCGTAAAAACTTGAATAATTGGACGGTGTGCTATGTAGTCCAGAATTCCCTTCTCTGGAAAGGGGGCAAAAAACACAGCAAAAACACAGCCCCTTTCCCCTTCCGAGACAGAAAAAAAAACAAAAATTTCTTGACCTTACTGAGAGAGGAAAGTCCAACGACATAGCACACCGTCCAATTATTCAAGTTTTTACGGTATGCCTCTCGTGCCGAAAACCAAGCTACGATAGGTGCTAGCGATGGGATTTGTTTGAAAATGGGGGTAACCCGGTTCCTAGAATGGCATGGGTCCGCCGATCAGTTGGAAATGCTTGGCGCGCTTGTCAATGGCCCTAACCAAAGTCCCAGGGATCTGGTCTATCCTTATTGGTGAGCCAAGATACAAGTACCATGTTTGTATTAAAAAGAGCCGCATTAGAGCCTCAGCTCGGTATCCCATAAGCTGTCGAGACATTCAGTCCATTTTAAAATTTGGAACCCGAACCGATTTGGGGAACTGGGAGCAAATCTACGCCGAGTTTCTCGTTTCCATCATGACCATGCTGAATCGTACAGATTTGAGGTATTCTGAGCACTACACCACTTGCGAGCAATATGGCTTTTCCTATCACGATTACCCAAATGCGTTAGGGTTCCAAATTTTAAAATGGACTGAATGTTTCGACAGCTTATGGGATAATGCCGTGGTAGTGCCTGGAATCCATTCTGTACCCGAGTTCTCTCAATCAGACAAGCAGTAACTTATGCTCGAGCAATGTTTTGTGATGACAAAATTACAACTATCCTTCAGGCCCCAGCTCCTTTCTTGTTGTCAGAACATAAAAACTCCTCCGCCCTGCTCAATTCGTCTAGTGTACCATAACAGCAAAACATCGCCAGAGGCAACCGACCCCCGCCCCCCTATCCAGCTCCTCTCACCGTTACAAGCGCGGGTGATAGAAATAATAGTCACATGCCTTATCAATGCGTACCGTACTGCGACCAGAAAGTTCAAACCTTTCATATCAACTCATGTGACCCATCTATCGGTCTGCTGTGCATGGAGTAGAATCAAGTCCGACTTAATTAATTATTTATTTGAACTCAAATGTTTGGACTTTTTCTAATAATATTAGAGTCACGGCGCCCCGCGTAAAAATCAAAGTTGGAAGTTGGAAGTTGGAACTCTTGGCGAATATTTGAGAGGGAAGAAAACTCCTTCACAGCAAGGAAGTTTGTGTCATTGAGTATTTCTTGCTTTTCTCAAGCGTTGCCTTGGGCATGGCTGCCAAGACCTAGGACTTCTAACTTCGAACTTTGAATTATGCACCGGGGCGCCGTGACTCTATTGCACCTTAGCAAAGGAACCGAACATTTAGCGTTGCAACGTGCCACCACATAGCATCGCAACCCCCCCTCCCTCCCGAATTGGCTATGCTTTTATTGCAACGAAAAAATCTCAATAAACCAGACGGACAACAAACAAGGTATTAATTAGGATTATGCATTTTCTTTATTTTTTAATATTCCTTTAGTTGTGGTTTTGGTAGTCATTAACGTATTGGACCGGGAAGTGGAGTCAATGGGTTTGTATGTGAATTTTGCACAAACCCTCCACCACGGGAAGTTCGACAAAATGAATCCTCAGAATCTAGCTCAAAAACAAGCAAATCTGAAATAGTGTGCTATCAGAGATACCTCTTACCCTTCTAAATCTCGTCTTCTTACTATCGTGCGTCAATTAGGATTTGCATATTTCTATTTTTTTTGATGCGTTTTTACTGATCCACTTCTCCGTCTGATCCACTTCTCGGTCCAATACGTTATTTGGGTGTTGGCGAAGTAGTGCGAGCCGTTGCACCGTGATGTTTATTTATGCCAACATGCAATAATAATTGGTAAAAAACAAACTTGACGTAGTATCGCGGCACCCTCATATTGGCTTCCACCTCAAATTCGGTTTCCGAGCCACGAAGGGCAGGTATCAACCACAATGGCCAGTACGGAACAGATGATAATCTGCCGTGAATGTGTCGTGCATTTTTGTCAAATTCTTACTAGTACAGACAGTACCAACCTGCGTAGCCCAGAAATCGAATTTGAGGTGGAAGTGAATTTGTGGGTGCCGCGATACTAATATTACAACCGGCATCAATTATCCGGTGCGCCCGGTACAGTTCGAGCACTGGTGTCAGGGTATTTCAGGCGAGGTGACACAAGCCAGTTCTCCTTTTAGAAAGCGCCCGACTTTTTGCCAACACCAAAAAATCCTCACCAGATATCACTCAGGCTTCCTAATCCGGTTTAGTCCTCATACCAATGAAATAGTGGTGTGCTCCTTTTTCCAACCTCCAGCCCCCGAGTACTTAGAGAATGCAAAGTTACTAACTGTGACTTTACGTTGATAGTTTTCATCATGACCACCTGGCGCAATCAGGATAAATTGACCATGGTGAATGGAAACCGGGGGTAAAAATAACTCTGATGACACCAAATGTGCAGCCGATAACTTGAACCTTGTGCCCACAGTTCAAGTGTGCTCTGCTCCCTGAATTCTTTTTCCTTCTGTTCAACTCATTGTTGGTTTCCTATTTAAAGAATATATAATATTCCAATATCAGCCCCAACATATCTAACTTACGTAAAAATGATCATACTGAATGCAAAGGACCAGCCTTAGGCAACTTGTATCTACTGAGGCTACAGAATTTGACTCTATTGTGTTAGTATGAGATGATGAACAAGCAATTTCAAACCACGATCAGAAGAAAGAAAAACAGGAAAGAGGAAAAAAAATGGAAAAAGAAGAAAGAATAATAGAGGGAAAGTTTATCCGCCGATAGGATTGGGTGTAGGACTGCGCAATAGATTGCGTGGCCAACTCATCCAATATGGTATGATTAGGGAGAAGCAGATGGAAAACATAGACTGAAGGTCGAAAACGGGCATTTAGGCACCCGTTCAAAACGGACGCGTGAGGAACGGCTTAACATGCCATTCCCCAGCGTCACATTCACTCTGACAAAAATGATTTAACACATGTCCCGCCAACCATCATGAAGCGCTCTCACATCGTGGTCTCAAACCACTCCACATTACTGTCGGTAGGCTATTTTGTTATGATACCTAACCGATTAGCAAGGAGAAAAACATCAAATCTCGCTGGGGTCCTTGGGGAAAAGAAAATTCCAAAATGTGGTTCGTTCTAAAATGCGGTACGATGGCGTCGATGGGTTATTGAATTAGCCAATTTCCCAAAGCCAATGAAATCTATTACTATACTGACAAGCAAGGAGAAACAAGAGAGTAATACAGAGAAAGGCGACAAGGAAAGATAGAGGAAGGAAAGAGATGCCCAGTAATTCCATTGATCTGTGTGCTGAAAGCTGAGTTCCACCGGCGGAGGCGTTGGTGGTGTTTTCGCTGCCCTTGCCGTTGGGGATGGTAGCCACCAAGGTGCCCCACGGTGGCAATGAGGGCGCTAGAAGTTCATCGAAGGGAGGTGGGTGGGAAATAAAGAACGCAAGCGGTAGGAAACAGGAGGTTAGGTGATCTTGTGGTTCTCTCGTGAGGAAAACAGGGGGACTCGGGGGAGTATATGTATCGGGGGTCCACGGACCCCTCGTGGTGAGCTATGACCCCGCTCTGGCCAGGCAACCGGCAATACCTTATTCCGCTAACCTCCCGAGCGCAGTTCGCAAAGGTTATGTGATATGCCGGGCTTTCCCAATTGGCAATGGGTTGTACCAACCCGACATTATGATTGAATAAAGGATGAATTGAGAAAGTGGCGATGGGATGAGATATATTTAGGGTTCTTATTATTTACTTCTTATCGGATACTGGTGGGGTCTCGATGGGGTGCG